TTTCTTAAATTTCTTTTTTGGTTGTGTCGAGCGCTTAAATTTGGGTCTGATTAGTGCAAATTATTTTTTAGTGGAAAATTAATCATTCACAAGGATATGCTTTTTATGGAATTTACAATCTTCCGTTTTGTTTCTTTTGAAGATTGTTGTTTCTTGAATTTTCAAATGTACATCTAATTTTTGTCTGCTTATTGAACTGCACGTAACTAAGACTTGATTTATATTCAGGATGCTGGAAGAATGGGTACGAAAGAATCAAGCTGACGAAGTTTACATGTTTCCATCTCAAATAAAAGAATTAATTACAAATTTGGATCTGGCCAGTAGTCTATCCCCACCATCATATAAATTACTACAGGGTTTGTTCTTGTCATCCTTGAGGAGATGAACGGTAATGTTCTTGAGCTATAACACACAGTTCATCGATTAGCCATTATTCTTGAATTTAGAACTTAATTATAAGATTCATACGTTTGGGACCAAGTTATTCAACTATCCATACCTCAAGAGTCACTATGCAAATTTCGAAAATTTCAATTTTTCCAGCCCAAGAACAATACCGATCAAGGTTTTGGTTGAAGAAAAATATTTTGTAAGATTAAAATTTTCGCCTACTTTCAGGAAGTTAGACTAGTTTCCTCTATAAATACTACGTATTTATATTATATAATTATATTTATTAAAATATATATTATAAGTATTTTAAGAGAGATTTATGCTGTTGGAACATATTTGATTTGACTTTTGTAAACATAAAAGTTGCCCAAAGAATAAGAGTAACATTATTTAGCATCACTAATATTTAACAGCAGTCTAGATAATGGTATTGATGACGTTAAATTACAGATTCAATTAAATGAATAACATAATTTTACTTTTAATTGAATTTATCATATAGTGCCATATAGATTAATGTTTTAGCATCACCAGTGCTAGATATCATTATTCAAAGAATAATTGTAGTTATATGTAATGCGAATTAGCATGGAGAAAAGTGTAATAAACATTAAGCCTCGTTTCGCCTTCATTATAATTCATTTTTCTCTTTTCTTATTAACAATACATTCTCTAATAAAATAATATTATACGTAAAGTTAAAAAATTTTCTTTCATTTTTAACCGCACATTTTCAGAAAATTACTTTTCATCTCATTATAATATGGATTAATGGAGGTCAAACGAGCGCTAATTGAGACTACATGGAAGTAGGTATATGCTGGCATATTTGGGAATTTAGCATAGACTACAAATGAACAAATATCAATCATGTTATTTGTACATTTGGGGTTGACATCTCGGATGACACCTCCCTTACATGGGGAGTCGCAATTTTTTTATTTCGCTCAGCTCCCTCCACCCCATGTGAAAAGGGTCTTGTTCGGGATGTCAACCCCATATGTACAAATAGCATTATTGAACAAATATTCCAAAAATCTGCCACGATAAAATATTAGAAGTACCTAGGCCAATCATGCTACATGTATATTAATATTTACGTCTTTGTAGATATTTGTCTACATGGCACCATCGTATCCTTTGATTTTCACAGCATCCTTTCACATTACTGTTCAAATTGTGCAACATACGAGAGAATGTCATCTAGATTGTAAACTAAAATGTACATCTAGCTTAATTCACCCTCGACCCTTAACAGATGTTACTGGACTAGATAGTAGCCAAGTAACAGAGTCTATCGATGTACAAGAAAGAAATTTGTTCGAGCAATAAGCTCCCATTTACTCTTTTCCTGGCATCGACCACGAATTCAGCAACAGAAAATTGTTTCCAAGTATAAGCAAAAAAGTGGTTGACAAGGGCTCCAACGATGTCAACCATTAAACCAAAAGAATGTTTGATCACTGTTTCTTCCTCATAAACCATGTCTCAGCTCATATGCCTTAGTTACAATAAGCTATGCCTAGTTTGGACATGCCAATATATAAGATGAATATATCATAGCTATTACAAACTCCATGAATCATGAACGTTCATGCTACTTTGCTTCTCGGTACCTCATAAAAACTAGACTAATTAAGTTATTCAACTATCCATACCTTAAAGAGTCATTATGCAAATTTCGAAAATTTCAATTTTTCCAGCTCGAACAATACAGATCAAGGATTTGGTTGAAGAAAAATATTTTGTAAGATTAATTTTTCTCCTACTTTCAGGAAGTTAGACTAGTTTCCTTTATAAATACTACGTATTTATATTATATAATTATATTTATTAAAATATATATTATAAGTATTTTAAGAAAGAAATTTATGCTATTGGAACATATTTGACTAGAATATGATTTGACTTTCGTAAACATAAAATGTTTGCCCTAAAGAATAAGAGTGAGGCTATTTAGGAGCACAACTAATGTTAAACATTAGTTTAGATGACAGTATTGATGATATTAAATTAAAGATTCAATTAAATGAATCACATAATTTCACTTTTAATTGAATTTATCAAATAATGCTATATAGATTAATGTTTTAGTATCACTAGTGTTAGATAGCATTATTCAAAGAATAATTGTAGTTATATGTAATGCGAATTAGCATGGAGACGAGTGTAGTAGACATTAAGCAACGTTTGGTCTTTATTAAATTATAATTTATTTTTTTCTCTTCATATTAACAATACATTCTTTAATGAAATAATATTAAACTTAATCTAAAAAAATTTCTTTCTTTTTTATCTGCACATTTTTCAAAAAATTACTATTCATCTTATGCCTTAGTTACAACGATGTCAGCTATTAAACCAAAAGAATGTTTGATCACTGTTTCTACCTCATAAACCATGTCTCAGCTCATATGCCTTAGTTACAATAAGCTATGCCTAGTTTGGACATGCCAATATATAAGATAAATATATCATAGCTATTACAAACTCCATGAATCATGAACGTTCATGCTACTTTGCTTCTTGGTACCTCATAAAAACTAGACTAATACCGGTTCAACTAAACCGATTTATTTTCTCTCGTTTCAAATCTTATTATTTTGTCACCTTCCCTCGGACTCTTGGTTTTTTGGGAAGATATACAAGGAAACTCTCTAAATTCGACATCATTACATTATGCTAGCATAAGTACCTTGAGGATGATAATAGAGAATCTCTCTCAACATCATCTCTCTAATCATAGGTTCTCCCATATTCTCATCAATATCAAGATTGACAGGGGATTGGGCTGGAGGATTATGAGAAGGATCGTACAGACTTGAGATATACGGATGATATAGAGCCTCCGTGACTGTAATTCTTTTTGACGGATCAAATATGAGCATCTTTTGAAGCAAATCTATTGCCAAAGGGTCGGCATGAGGATATAGAGCAGAAAAAGGTGTTCCTCTGCAAAAGTCGAACGATCTGATGAACCTTTTGGCTTTTGCATTATCGATGAATTTAATGTCTTCTTCAGGTTGGCCACCAAGAACACTTATAATAAGCTTAAGCTGACCGAGGCAATCAGTTCCTGGGAATATTGGCTTCCGGCCAAGAATTTCTGCAAAGATGCAACCTACG